CATCTACTTCTAAACCTCTAAAGGATTATTTCCACAAAAAAAGTTAAATTACTTCACATGTATTTGTTTTGAATTGAAAAGGTATGCTGATCCCACCTACAAATCTGTCCATGACTTATATAGCCACAACAAGAAAGAGGCCTTTGTATACAGCTACATGGAGTGTGGACTGCTACTTGGAGAGATCCCAGTTCACCTCCTGCCCTGCCGTGGTGCCCTTGAGCAAGGCACCGGACATAAAGACTGGAAACGGGGGAAACAGCTCTGTGTCCTCTAGAAATATTTAATGATTTCAATGATGCCTTTTTGCATATTATGATTATTTATCCTTTTTACTATTGCAAAACCTTATAGAGGCTATATTATACTGAATAACACAACATACACATGGCAAGGGCAACACCGCAAACCTTAAATAAAACAAATATAAATATATATTCCACGATTATTAATGCATAGTTTAAAAATGTTTTGTGTTTTTCCACTTCAGTCAGTTCTATAATGCTCTCCGTCTTGCTCTGTTTATTATTCTTCATTTTTATCCCACTGAACTTCATCATATCCCCCTTCATCTTATCTCAGAGCTCTGCAAATAAACCTGAAAGCCTGAGCTTTACTTCATGCAGATTCCCTGCTGCCGTCCCATTTCAGAGGCAGAATGTGTGCTCTGTGGAGCTGGAGGCTGCTCAGAGACGCTCTGCTGTAGACGGATACTGACCAGCACTGCTACTGACCTGCTGAATGTGATGTAAAATCTACTGATACAGAAGAAGAAGAAGACCAAAATGCTGCAGCCTCCCTCCAGCATTCTATGAACCAACATTTGTTGTGACATAACGTTTGCATATGTGTCTCTTTTGCTTCTAGTATCTTTACATTCACTTTACTAACATTAAACTCAAGCAAACCAGTTATTTTACTTATATATAAAACACTAATATGTACAAGTGAGTATTCTATACTGTTTTTGTTCTTGTGTTTGTAGAAAAGCTTAAGAGGAATACTTGATTAAAAAAATTACCTTCTGTATATCAATTAAACACCCGTTACCTTGAATTCTTCCGAAGAACTATTTTTTTCTCAGATGCCTCCGCGGTGAACGAGAACAAATTAAAATAACTATGCTACGTTTAACAACAGCAAACCTATATGAAAATCACAATTTTGCAGTATAATCAATTTCTCATTCATTCAACACTACTAAATAAACACAAATGTATTTTCTGAACAACCTTACTACTGTAAAACACAGTATTGTACCAATGAGTGCTTAAGGCTTGGATTACACTGCACTTGCAGATGTTTTGAAATAGTTTTGCTGTTGTTAAACATGGCCCCATTGACTAGATTTATTTCACACTTTCCTAGATTTGTTTTCTTTCTTTGCAATGAAGGCAGGCAAGATAAACTAGTTTTCTACATTAATTCAAGTTAACAGGGTAAGTAATGAGATGATCACTTTTTGAGGTGAAGTATTCCTCTAAAACTGTACACAGATTTATAAAAAGCCATATCAGCCTTAATGGACCCATTAACTTTCATTATAGCCACATTGATTGGGTATTATTTTTATATCAAAAAGGGAGACAGTCAGCACCAAGGTGTTTTACAACATGCAGCTGTGAGTTAGAAGATGTTATAATAACCACATAACCCCTCCGTGTTTACTGCCTGACACAAAATCAATGGCTGCTGGGTCTTCTAGAAAATAAGTAGAGACACCCCGAGCCTGACTTCGCAGCTCTATCCAGGCCGTGTGTGTGTGTTCAAATAATCAATTTAGCTTGACCATGTGTCCCTGGCTTTGCGTGTTACCCAACAGGAAAACAGGTCTCTGGTTACCGTGGTAACATGATTCAACACCTTTGTGTGCTGACCCTGACCTCTGTGTGTGTCGAGCAATAACTGTGTAATTCAGTTTCCTCCCCGCCATCGACAAATTCACCATTCATCGGTTTTTCTCTCTGCATATAAACAGAAGTGTGCTACTGCTACATCCTACAGGAGAGTTCACTGCCAAAGCAGAGAGAAACCAGACATGCAGGAGAGGAATTCATTTCACACGTGTGTACAACTAGAGTGATTTGCAATATCAGCATGCAGCACGTGTGGAACAGGATAATTGCTTTTTAATCCGTTGTTTACCGTTTTTAGGAGAAAGCCGTGTCTGACCATATTCATTTTCCTTTTTAATTTATATATATATATATATTTATATACAGTGGGGCAAGAAAGTATTTAGTCAGCCACCAATTGTGCAAGATCTCCCACTTAAAAAGATGAGGCCTGTAATTTTCATCCTAGGTATATCTCAACTATGAGAGACCAAAATGGAGGAAAAAAGAAAATCCAGAAAATCACCATTGTGTCGATTCTTAGAAGACTTTATTTGCAAATTATGGTGGAAATTAAGTATTTGGTCAATAACAAAGAGTTCATCTCAATACTTTGTTATATTACCCTTTGTTGGCAATGACAGAGGTCAACGTCTTTCGTGTAAGTCCTTCACCAAGGTTTTCACACACTGTTGCTGGTATTTTGGCCCATCCCTTCCATGCAGATCTCCTCTAGAGCGAGGTGCATGTTTTGGGGGCTGTCGTGGGCAACACGGGACTTCAAAACTCCCTCCAAAGATTTTCTATGGGGTTGAGATTCTGGAGACTGTCTAGGCCACTCCAGGACCTTGAAATGCCTTCTTACGAAGCACCTCCTTCGTTGCCGGCCCGGGCGTGTGTTTGGGATCCATTTGTCATGCTGGAAGGACCCAGGCCACGTTTCATCCTCAATGCCCTTGCTGATGGAAGGAGGGTTGTCAGCCTCAAGAATCTCACGCATACATCCTGGCCCCCATTCATTCTTGTCCTCTTACAGGAATCAGTCGTGCTGGTCCCTTTGCAGAGCAAGAAGCAGGCCCATAGCATGATGTTTCCACCCCCATGTTCACAGTAGGCCTTATGGTGTTCTTTGGATGCAGACTCAGGCATTGCTTTTTCCTCCAAACACCGTTACGCTAGTTTTT